CAAAATGGTTGACTCGAAATCTGTTATGAGTCAAGTCCAAGACCTTCAGGTCATCATACATGATAACAATGCAGAAAGGGTGGATCTTAATGAATCATTCCAAGTTGCATCAATGGTTGAAAAACTTCCTCCTGGTTGGATAGACTTCAAAAATTACCTTAAGCATAAGCGAAAGGAGATGTCTGTGGAGGAACTGGTGGTGCGTCTTCGCATTGAAGAAGACAATAGAATGGCCTTGAAGAAAGGCAGTGAAGTTGAATCTTCTAAGGTTCATATGGTGGAAGCTGGTCAAACTTCCAAAAGCAAAGGCAAGGGAGCTCACAAAGGGCAAAAACCTAGGCCCTAAGGCAGGAACTTTCAAGAAGAAGTTCAAGTGCTACAATTGTGGCCAACCGGGTCACAAGGCTTCGGAGTGCCCTCAACCTAAGAGGGTAAACCGTCAAGCAAACATGGTGAATGATAACATGGAGTTGGTGGCCATGATAACTGATCTCACGGCTATGGTTTCTGAAGTGAATCTTATGAATACAAATTCAAAGGAGTGGTGGATTGACACGGGAGCTACTCGTCATGTGTGTCATGACAAAAGCTCTACATGGGAAATGCTGCTACCACGGATATCAAAGGTGTTGGTGATGTCATTCTAAAAATGACTTCGGGGAAAGAAGTGAAGCTTAGGGATGTCTTGTATGTTCCTGAACTTCGTAAGAATCTAGTGTCGGGTGGTTTGTTGAACCAATTTGGTTTTAAGCTAGTGTTTGAGTCCGACAAGTTTGTTTTGTCCAAAAATGGTATGTTTGTGGGAAAAGGATATGCCTTGAATGGCATGTTCAAATTGAATGTAATGGTGACAAACAAAATGAATAATGAAAGTTCTAGTTCTGCTTATTTGCTTGAGTGTTCAAATGTTTGGCATGGTCGCTTAGGACATGTAAATTACAATTCAATTAAGCGATTAATTAAACTAGAATACATACCAAAACTTAATATTGACTCAAATCACAAATGCCCCACATGTGTTGAAGCTAAACAAACTAGATTGTCTTTCCAAACAATCAAAAGAAACACCGAACCTCTTGATTTAATTCACACTGATGTGTGTGATCTAAAGTCAATTCCTACTCAAGGTGGGAACAAATACTTCATTACATTCATCGATGATAGCACGAAATATTGCTACATATATTTACTTAAGAGTAAAGATGAAGCAATAGACAAGTTTGTCTTGTACAAAAATGAAGTTGAGAATCAACTCAACAAGAGAATTAAAATGGTTAGAAGTGATAAGGGTGGGGAATATGTTTCTCCCTATGCTGATTTTTGTGCTAAAAATGGAATTCGTCATGAATTCACATCACCCTATTCACCTCAATCCAATGGAATTGCTGAAAGAAAGAACCGTACCTTGAAAGAAATGGTCAATGCCATGATAATTAGTTCAGGTGTAAACCAGTCAATGTGGGGGAAGCTATTTTGTCAGCTAACTATCTTTTAAATAAGATACCTCGCAAAGAAAAGAATGAAACACCGTATGAACTTTGGATGGGTAGAAAGCCATCGTATAAGTACTTACGAGTGTGGGGGTGCCTAGCTAAAGTGGTAGTGCCACCACCTAAGGTACAAAAGTTAGGGCCTAAAACAGTGGATTGTGTATTCATTGGGTATGCACAAAGTAGTAGTGTCTATCGGTTCCTTGTGCATGATTCTAAGAATCCTGAAATACATAAGAATACCATAATGGAATCAAGGAATGCTTCATTCTTTGAAGATGTGTTTCCTTGTTTGAACAAGGAAGTTGAAAGCCCATCTTTACCAAATAACGAAGTTGTTCGAGAGGAAGAACAAGCTCAATCCGAAGAGGAAGAGATAGAACCCAGAAGAAGTAAGAGGGCTAGAGTTGAAAAATCATATGGTGATGATTTTTTCACCTATGTGGTGGAAAGTGAACCTAAAACCTACCAAGAGGCGGTAACTTCTTCTGAGGGACCTCAATGGAAAGAAGCCATAAAAAACGAGGTAGAGTCTATCTTACAAAATCATACATGGGAGCTAGTAGATCTACCTACAGGTAGCAAGCCACTAGGTTACCGTTGGATCTTTAAGAGAAAGATGAAACCTGATGGCAGTATTGATAAATACAAGGCAAGACTAGTAATCAAAGGTTATAGACAAAAGGAAGGTCTAGACTACTTTGATACCTATTCGCCGGTAACGCGGATAACATCCATTAGATTAGTTCTTGCCATTGCAGCTATCAGAAACTTGCAAGTTCATCAAATGGATGTGAAAACAGCTTTCCTAAATGGGGAGTTGGAAGAAGAAATTTATATGGAGCAACCTGAGGGGTTCATTGCCTCGGGACAAGAGAACAAGGTTTGTAAACTTGTTAAGTCTCTATATGGATTAAAACAAGCTCCTAAACAATGGCATCAAAAATTTGATCAAGTCATGATGGAAAGTGGCTTTAGAATCAATGAGTGTGATAAGTGTATCTATGTGAAAAACACCACTCATGGATATGTCATATTGTGTTTGTATGTTGATGATATGCTTATCATTGGTAGTGATGACAAGATAATAAGATCCACAAAGGATATGTTGAAATCCAGGTTCAACATGAAAGATATGGGATTAGCAGATATGATTCTTGGAGTGAAGATCACAAGAACCCAAAGTGGTTTGATTTTGAGTCAAACACACTATGTGGATAAAATTCTTGAAAAATTTGCTAAGGGAGATACTAGCATAGCTAGAACTCCAATTGACACTAGTCAACATCTACGTAAAAATAGAGGTGATAGTGTTAATCAAGTGGAATATTCAAGAATTATTGGCAGTCTGATGTATCTAATGAGTTGTACCAGACCTGACTTAGCATATGCTGTGAGTAGACTAAGTAGATACACTAGTAAACCCAGTTCTGAACACTGGAAGAGTATTACTAGGTTGCTGAGGTATGTGAGATACACACGGGAATATGGACTGCATTACGGAAAGAGATCCAGTAGTTATCGAAGGATACACGAATGCAAATTGGATATCTGACATAAAAGATTCAAGATCTACAAGTGGATATGTGTTTACACTTGGAGGTGCTGCTGTAGCATGGAAATCATCCAAGAAAACAGTTATATCTAGATCTACGATGGAATCTGAATTTATCGCCTTAGATATTTGTGCTGAAGAGGCGGAGTGGCTACGTCAATTTGTAGAGGACATTCCTGAATGGCCTAAGCCGGTAACGGCCATAAGTATACATTGTGATAACCAATCAGCAATTGGTAGATCTCAAAGTACAATGTATAATGGGAAATCAAGGCACATTAGACGTAGACATAAAACGATACGACAACTAATCTCTACGGGAGTTATCACGGTTGACTGGGTGAAGTCAAAGGATAACATTGCAGATCCGCTTACAAAAGGCTTGAGTAGAGATGTAGTTTATAAGTCATCAAGAGGAATGGGACTAAATCCCATGAATGAATAAATTCATATGAAGGAAACCTTACCCAGAAGACTGGAGATCCCAAGATCTGGGTTCAAAAGGATAACCTAATTGTATGAGTGGGGCAGGTCACTGTGGGGGAAGTTAACTTTTCATCCTAGTCCATTCCTTTATGTAGTGACCAAAAGTAGGCTAAACATATGGTTTTTAATGATTCTTGGAATCACCTATGTGAGAGAGAAGTGGGGTCGCTTAGAAGGGAATTATAGGGGCAAAAATTCCTAAAGCTCTTGCAGAACCAGGTTAGTGTTCATGACCAAAATGAACACATCTATGAGGATATGACCTTGTCAGGGAGAGTCCTGTGAGATTTACATTGTTGTCTACATAAATGGCAGCTTAGTTCAAAGACATCGAGATCTACTAACTGCTAGGAGATTAAGTGTAACTTCTTAAGGGAAGGTTCAAAGGGTAATACCTACCTATCCTATGCAGGATTCAACTGTTGAAAATTTCATCTGGAAATTGGATGTGCAGAGATCGATCTCCATTCATGTGGGGGATTGTTGGAAATTTAGTAAAAATATTTATATTTTTTACTAACTTTGGACATATATAAATATATACATATGTTGTACATATAACGAACTCTAAGTGGGTTTGTGTTCTTCTCCATGAGGACTTCAAAACGATATATTATATCTCCAAAATAGAGTATAAGTGAATGCGATATCGATACTCAAAGATGGGTATTTGAGAATAAGTTTAGCAAAAGAGAGGAATGTGAGAATGAGTCCCACATTGGTAGAGAGGCCAAACTCAACAAGGTTTATAAGCTTCATTGCATGGAAGGCTTACAAACTTGTGTCTATGGTTATGCTACGATTCCTACCCGCGCGCAGGGGGGGGGGGTTGCAAATCTTGGTTCCGTAGACCAAAAACACCGAACTCATGCATGGACACGAATGCAACTCCGAAAACTCGGGCGCGCGCTACCCTCGTTTTTGCTAAACTTGACAGTTTTGGTCCCTATTTTTTGAATTATGTAATGGGTGCATTAATTTTAATTAATGACATTTATTGTCATTAAACACTCAATCAATTAGTGATTTGTTTCCGTTTCACAATTCGACTATAAAAGAATACCATTGCCTTCTCATTCAGACACACGAATGAATTTACTCTTCTTCTTCTTCCTTCTCTGCATACCTGCTTCCGGCGATCTTTTCAGGCAAGTGGTTATCTCCGGCAATACACAATACTGTTTAGGTTGTTGTACCCTGGGAACAGACGGCGAATCTGTTTAAGGGAATCGAGTCCAACTCGAGCCTAAGTCACATCGTTTGCATCTAATCTTTCTTTACAGGAACCTCTCAAGGACGAAAATCGAAGACGTTATACTAACAGTATCGGACCCCAAAAAACATTTGAACAAAATCAGAGCATATGAAGATATCACCAACAGTTAAAAAATTATAAATTTTACATCAATCTTTTCATCCATAAAAAACATGAAACCATCATAAAAATGCAGTTTGATTTCGTTAATATATCATGTCCTTTGTGAAATACATGAGTGCTCATCGGTCACTTCTTGCGATATGTTAAACATGGTGGTTGGTGATCGTGGTGGAGAAGAAAAGAAAGGTTTTGGTGGAATTTCCAATGCCTCAATGCTTCCTTCCAACATTTCAATCACTTCATTAATCGATGGTCTTTTCTTGGGATTAGTTTGTATGCACCATAAGCTGACTATAGTCATCTTTCTAACATATTCATTTTCTGTAGAAGATGTCACACCATCAAATAAGAATTCATTTGTCTTAAGACGGCTATAAATCCAATTTGGAAAATACATGATTTCACTCGTATCCCCAGATCCAACACCATTATAAACATTGTTCCTTCCTCCAACCATTTCTATAATGAGCATCCCATAACTATATACGTCAGATTTATGGGACACTCCACCGAAGTTTCTGTTAAAAACTTCAGGGGCAATATACCCGATAGTGCCTCTAGCCTCCAACATAGAAACAATACTATCTTTTCTCGAGTACAATTTAGCAAGGCCAAAATCTGCTATCTTTGGGCAAAAGTCTTCATCAAGGAGGATGTTATGTGGCTTTATATCAAGATGCAAAATACGAGTGTTGCAGCCACGATGCAAGTAGTCAAGACCCCGTGCAATTCCAAGTGCTATCTCATATAACTTGTCTATTCCTATGCGTTCACTTGTACTTTGAGTAACATGACCATATTTAAACTTCTCTAATGATCCATTTGGCATGAACTCATATATCAGAGCTCTTTTTTTATGGTCAAAACAAAATCCCAAGAGAGTAACAATATTAACATGAGAAGTCCTACCGATGCTTGCAACTTCGTTTATAAATTCTTGTCCGCTTGCTTTCGATGAGTTTAAAAGTTTTACTGCCACAAGACGCCCATCTGATAGTTTTCCTTTAAACACAGTACCAAAACCTCCTTGTCCCAATTTAACTTGAAATGAGTTTGTCATTTTCTTGATATCAGCATATGTGTACCTTTTTGTACTTAAGGATCCATATTGTATAACAAAGGTCTCAACACTTTTGTCGTCCTCAGTTTGATGCTTAAATAGCGCAACACAACTGCTTGTTGAGGATTTCCGAATGCAATATATTATGAATATCAACACAATCAAGAGAAGTGCAGATCCGATTCCGAAAGCTGTGACAAAGTAAAGTTTACAATTTCAGTTAAAACACCTTGAAAATCTAATAATCTTATTATAACTTTAAGGGCAGGCCAGCCGCGAATTAAATTGTCGGCAAACCCTTCGTTTAGTTTTGCTTTTTGCAAGCAATACAGACTACTTTTAATATGGGCTACATAATTGAAATTTATCATATAAAGTAATTAAATAGACTTACCAAGTTTTATTCTCAACGAAGTTGGGGACCCTACAAAAACATTGTGAGAAATGTTAATAGCAAAGTCCATCCATAGGAGTTTTAGAAGAAATTAAAGAAACGAGAAATATTCATGGCTTTAGTTCCATTTAAGCTATTTATACTCTATCATATTGTGAATTTGATGTAAAAAAAAAATTTCGAATTTTATATCATTGGAAAAATGATAAAAAGTTATGAATTTCTGTATTTTTAGTTTTTTTTTTATAAAAAATAAGTTTTAAAAGTTGAAAAAAAGATTGTTTTCTTGGTTAATTATGGTTCTCTATTGAACCTCACCCTATATATATATATATATATATATATATATATATATATATATATATATATATATATATATATATATATATATATATTCAATAATCTCTAACCAATTATTTAATGTTTTATTTAATTAGAAAATTAGAACGGACCCAGTGCGAATTTAGGATTTGAACTCACATGTTTCCAATTTAAATAAGGTGACGAAAAACTAGTCGAAATATTTATTTTATCAGGTCGGATTGTCGATAATACGATGTAAGTCAAATTTAGTATAAACTTTAATACCAAAAATCAAACTTAATTTATATAAAAAAAATACAAGTAATGTCTTAGGATCATTAACACCTTTTTGTATATACAAACCTTTATATTAAACAAAAACCAACTAATTGTGTATGATTAATTTGTCGATAATTGCTTGTATGACCATACATATAGTTTTGTTTTAATAGACAACAATTCATTAGCATAACTAACGATTTGGAAGAGAATTATAATTTCTTTTAAATGAGATGAGATACTAAAGGTAGACAAGGTTTTACTATCCTACAAAATTATACGACAAAGATTCAACTTTTGGCATACGGTATCACCGCCAACACATCATATGTATATTTGAAATGATCGAGAGCCTCAAATATGCCTAAGAGCACATGACAATAATATGCATATTTGTTTTATGAAAATGTTATAGAAATACACAACAATCTTTCCGGACATTACTTTGCTAGAGTTTTAGAAATACATAACAAGAAACTTACAAAAATATTTGGTAAGATTTAACGAACTATATGTACCCTATGCAGAACAACGATAACGACAATGACAATGATGCGCCGATAATTATGTAATTTTAATTTAAAATTTTTATTATATATATTTAAAATTTCTTATATATTATAATATTTTTATTTTTATTTAAGGTTATTTTTTTGAATTAATTCTTGTGTTCTTAAATAATTAAAAAAAACATAAGTAATACGGTGACGTGCAGTGGAGAGTATTTCCTAAATAAGAGTTTAAAAAATGATGTTGATGTGACGAAATAATATTTTCGGTGTGGTGAGAATTGTAGGTATACCCAACAGCATAAGACTGGAGGGAGTGGTGCCACACTCCCTCCTCCTACCGTGTTTTTTTACAACACCCAAGGGGTGGAGAGACAGAGGACGAGATAGAGAAAAAAGAGAGAGATAGATAGATAGAGGAAGAGAGAGAGCAAGGGAGCGCTCCCAATTTCTACCGCAATCTCAAACTGCACTTCCAAAACCGTATAGAGGGGGCGGTGTTTCAGTGTCACGTCAGCTGAACCGCACCCCACACCCTCCAGCCTAATAGATCTTTTCAATATCTCATATTAATTTAAACATTTTTTTATATTGGCTTTATGTCTAATTATTATTATATACAATCAAATTTAATAAACTCATCCTTACTTACAAAAAATATATAAAATAATATATTTATTTTGAAAGGGGAAACCAAGTACCTACTGGCTATTAAGTAAGTCACTACACGAAATAACTCAATGTTTAATGTTTGAAGGCATAATGACTTAAAATGTATTATATGATTTATACCTATTTTGTCACTGATTTTTTTTTCCCCACATTTATCCATTCAACTTGTAATAATGTACACATTTAGTTCTTATGACCAGCTACTTCAGGTAAACCGGCAAAAATAACTTAAAAAGTTAATATATTTCTCACTTTGTACACATTTTGTCTTTAATATTATTTTGCATATTTAGTCATTGATATTTTTTTGTTGTAAAAAAGTCGTTTTTGGTCACATTCAGTACTTATGACAGATTTTTTTACGTTTCTCTCACGTTATCTTACCTAAGACAATCATTAATGACGTATTTGGGTTGTTGATGTTTTTGTCCTTCGCGACGTCGGCTGCTTCGTTTACTAGGACTTGTGGTTTGACTTAGATCTTATGTTTTAAACATCGTAACTTCTTCATATGATCTCGGATTTTAACGATTTTTATATCCATAGGTTTGTAATCGAGTCTACTACCACTTTCATTAAGATTACTCTTGTTAAAAAATAATATATTTTTATTTATGATTTTATAAAAAAAAAAAAAAAAGTCTCACACATACATTCATAAAGAACATATGAACATAAAGATCACATGGACATAAAGATCGTAAGTGAAAATATATTACTTTTTATAAAAAACATATGATTATATCCATGCGTTCTTTGTGAAATTATGAATGTTCTTTTAAAACATCGCAAGTAAAAATAAAATATATTACTTTTTAATAGGAGTAATCTTAACGAAAGTTGTAGTAGACTCAAATACGAACGTGTGGATATAAAGATCGTTAAAATCTGAGATCATATGAAGACGTTACGACGTTCAGGACCTAAGTTAAACCACATAACCTAAGCAGCCAAACAACCCACATACACATCAACATCCCCAAACACCTCACTAATGATTATCCCACATAGGATGACTTGAAAAAAAGCTAAAGAAATCAGTCGTATGTATTGAATGTGTACAAAAACAACAATGGCTTATTTTGCAATAAAAAAAGATTAAAAACTAAATGTATACAAAGTGATAAATATATTAACCTTTTAAGTCATTTTTCTTGGCTTAACTGAAGTAGCCGGTCTTAACGACTGAATGTATACAGTTTAACAAATTGAACAAGTAAATTTAGACAAAAATAAATAAATAAATAAATAAATAAAAAACCCTCAATGACCAAATATATATACAAATTGAAAAATATATTACCTTTTTAAGTCATCGTCCCATGTTTAAATCATGAAGGATTCGATTAATAGTTAAGTGTGAGAGGTATGCAATGTACTTGATGTTATAAAATATTGAAGAAATGATGAACCCTTTTATGAGTTTATCTTATCTTTGTAAAAACTAGGAGCCATAATAGATGATCAGAATCCATTTATTTATTTATATAAGAATAAATTATATGAATCCCTATGGTTTGGGATACCTGTTTGGTTTCAAACTTTTTTTTTAACTCGGACCATCCTTAATTTTATTTTGTTGCGTGTTTAGTCTTTACCATATTTGAGTGAAATGACTGATAAGTCATTTTATTTTATTGGGATAATGACTTAGGAGGGTAATAACGTTTCCTATTTGTCCATTTTAAGTCTCTAACGTATTTTTTGTGTGTATTACACCATTAAGGTTATTATAACAGTTTACAAATAGTCATTTTAACAAGAAGAAACTGGTAAAAGAGATTATTTCAAAATAGTTATAACTTTAATGGTGTAATACACACAAAAAATACGTTAGGGACCTAATATGGACAAACGAAAATCGTTATTACCCTCCTAAGTCATTATCCCCGTATGAAACTATAAACCCTTATAGTAAATTTTTACTTTTTAAATAAGAAACTTGTAGCTCTTAGGGTTGGTAGTTTGGATGTTTTTAACCTCGATCTTCTTTATAAATGGAAGTGATGGTTTCTTAATGACAAGAGAGCTTTTTGGGTTAAAATTGTCAAATTTTATCATGGGGAAGGTGGTGGTTTTTCGGACAATTCGAACTGGAGGGGTGTTTGGCAAAAGATTATAGGATCCATTAATCATCTCCATGAGAATTGTTGTATTCCTTCTAATTCCATGTATAGAGTGGTGGGAGATGGGACTCAAACGAGGTTCTAGAAGGATGTTTGGTGCTTGGATATTTCTCTTAGGGAGCGGTTCGGAAGGCTCTTTGCTTTGGCCTTTAATCAAGATGCTCGAGTAAGTGAATAATGTGATTCGGGGGGATGGAATTTTCATTGGCGTGGGGGGATTAGAGGAGGGGATGAATCGACCCAATTTGATTATCTTGTGGAGATATTAATTCCTATTCGCATAGGGGAAATGTCGGATAAGTGGTCTTGGGAGCTTGAATTGTCGGGTATCTTTACTGTTAAATCAGCACGAAATTGGGTTAATGATATGACGCTTCCTATGGGTAGTATGCCTACTAGGTGGAACCATTTTGTCCCTATTAAAATTAACATTTTTTATGGTGTGTGTTTTTGGATCGCATTCTAGTAAGAGCTAAATTGGTGGGGCATGGTGATAGATTCCTTATTGTGTCCTGTGTGTCATAATTCTCAAGAAAGTGTGAAGCATTTGTTGCTGATCAGGTTTAGAGTCGGGTTGGGCATTGGCTTCATTTGGACCTTCCTGTGTTTTCATCTATCCGTGATGTGGTTACAAAATCCAATCTTGCCTTAATTTTTTTTTCTCTCTAGCTCCTTGCTAGAGGTTAACTGGATGATGTGGTTATAAAATCCAATCCAATCCAATCCAAACCTTTCTACTTTTTATTCTTTTTAATTTCAACAACTTTATATGAAATACACATATAAAAATAAATACTAAAAATTTAAAGAATATATATATTCAAAATAATAAATACTAAAAATCTTAGGAGGGTAATAACGTTTCCTGTTTGTCCATTTTAGGTCCCTATGTATTTTTTGTGTGTATTACACCATTAAGGTTATTCTAACCGTTTACAAATAGTCCTTTTAACAGGAAGAAACCGGTAAAAGGGATTATTTCTAAACGGTTATAACAACCTTAATGGTGTAATACACACAGAAAATACGTTAGGGACCTAATATGGACAAACATGAAACATTATTACCCTCATAAGTCATTATCCCAATTTTATTATGTATATGTTTTTCTGTTTTTCTTTTATTAATTTTAACTTGTTTT